GGGTGCAGTGGGATGAGTGAGGAAATAAGACATGTGGTTGTATTGGAGTAGTGAAGCCATGCTGACTAGGCCGAGTGTTATGTTACTGGACCGGCCATGCCGTCTGCTTTCTTGTGCCTGTTATGTGGGCGTTTAGGATAGGAGATACAGTGAAAGTGTTATTCTAGAGCAGTGTATATAGTGTTAATGGTGAATAAATAGATTAGTTTTCCCCTAACTAGATTTTTTGAGCCTAACCGTCTATTAACCACCCATTGAAGAACAAATGATGGTTTAGGTGCTTTCAGTTTACTGGATACCTGGTGGCCTGTTTATGGCTTTGAGATGAGTGTAACATTACCTTGGCCCTTAGACAGGCTCCTAGTCCCCCGCTATCCCAACTTTTCTTTCTCTGAGTAACAGTGGCATCCTGGGAGACAAGATTGAAGGACCACAATGGAAGTAAGGTCAACAGTCCCCAGTGATGCATAGACTTTCCTGAGTTATCCTGGGTGCTAACCCCTAGATTAAAAATCCCAATAAATCTTATCTTAACAAACTGTTTGTTACAAATGGCAGCCAACCAGTATAATAATAATAATACGAGTGCTTACCATCAAGTTCGAACAGCTCCCAACTCGAACAATTGTGTAAATATATTTTTGTAAGTGCTTTTGTAAGTGTATTTTTGGGGATCTGAAACGGTCTAATCTAATTTGCTTTATTCCTTATGCGAACAAATTCATTCAGTATCGGCATTCGAACAGCCTTCTGGAATAAATTAGGTTCGTAACTCGAGGTACCACTGTATCTTATTTCTACAAGTGTATGTACAAGGTATACAGACCATAGCTGACATCAGTGACATGCTACTATATAGAAAGCCCCTTGTTATGCAGAGTATTTCCCACAAATTAGGTCACGTTTGTCCCAGGATGTGACCCAGACCAGTCGACTAACACTCAAGCACCCACAGTGGACCCTCGCCTAACGTTGGCATCACATAACGTTAAATCCGCCTAGCGATACATTTTAACGCAAAAATTTTGCCTCGCCTAGCGCTAAAAAACTCGCTCAACGCGATTCGTCCGAGATGCGTCCATGTGCTGGCGACCTGAGCCAGCCTCACATTTGTTCCCGCCGGTGGCATTGCTATGACAAGCCAGGGTTGCCGTTTGCATGCATACATATTCGAACTTTTTATTATTCCATTATTTATAGTGCTTGTAACTGCTAAATAAGTCACCATGGGCCCAAAGAAAGCTTCTAGTGCCAACCCTGTGGTAAAAAGGGTGATAAATACTATCGTACCACAGTCAGCTGCTGCTGCACTTACGTCAGCTTTGCTGGACCAATCACTGGTTGCTGGATCAGGTCAGCTGTTGTTGGATCAGTCAGCTGCTGCTGTACCACGGTCACTGCTGCTGTAAACCAACGGTCAGCTGTTGCTGGACCATTCAGCTGTTGCTGGAAAAAAATCATTCAGCGCTGCGCACCACCACACGGTTCAGCTGTTTCTGGACCAGTGCCAACTGTTGCTGGACCAGTCAGCTGCTGCTGCACCACAGCAGTCAGCCTTTTGCTGTACCAGTCAGCTGCTGATACAACCATGGTCAGCTGTTTGCTGGACCAGTCAGACAGTTTGACTAGATCAGATCAGCTGCTGCTGCTGCACCATGGTCAGCTGTTTGCTGGATCAGACAGTCTGTTGCTGGACCCCATCAGCTGTTGCCTGGACCGAGTCAGCTTTTGCTGGACCAGGGTCAGCTGTTCCTGGACCATCCAGCTGTTTTTGCTGGACCAGCCAGCTGTTGCTGACCACGGTCAGCTGCTGCTGCACCACGGTCAGCTTCTGCTGCACCACAGTCAGCTGTTGCTGCAACCACCATCACTGGCTACTCAAAGATGTGCAGTGTGTTGTTTGTGTGGCTTACTGAAACAATTACCGAGAAAGATAAACCCCAGGAGGGTTAGCCACCCAGGATAACCCAAGAAAGTCAGTGCATCATCGAGGACTGTCTAACTTATATCCATTGGGTCCTTAATCATGTTCTCCCCAGGATGCACCGCACAACAGTCAACAAACACCAGGTGAATCAGGAATAAAAGGGCCTGGAACTAGTGATCCATATTGGTTGAATTTTAAGCCCAACAAAGTTGGTTTGAGTGAGATTTAAGATTGTTAGTGGGCATACACAGTGGCAGTAAGGCATGGCAAAGCTGAAAAAATTCATCCCCCAACAAGTGTTCCAGTTTGTGAGGAAATAAGACCTGTTCTGAAGAAATCCAAACAGACCTACATTTACTCAGGAGGAAAAGTGCACACCCAGGACACAAGCCTATGAAATACAGGCTAACTTCCTCATGTTATGTTAAAATGCTATGAGTATTGCAAAGTGAATTCATTACTTGTGTATCACTCTTGAAAATCCAGTGTTCAGTGAAAAACAGTGTCTCATCACCTCTCAATACTCTTCAATAAAGGAAGTGACATTTAACATTTATATATGTAAGTTATTGTGTCATGTCATTATCTGTTTTCTTTTAGAGAAATGTATATTTCAGTGAAAAAAAAAAATAATACTTTTGGCTGTCTGGAATGGATTAATTGGATTTCCATTATTTCTTATGGGGAAAATTAACTCGGCTAACGATAATTTCAGCTAACGATGAGCTCTCAGGAACGAATAAATATCGTTAGGCCGAGGTGTCACTGTATTTACTGATAGGGAACATGCACAGCAGGTGTCTAAAGAAACACTATCCTAAGTATCCATTGTACCGGGCAATCAATCCCTGGACCTCAGCGTGTGAGCAGATTGCGCTTCCACCCAGCTATGATGCACCACCTGGCATTTTAAGTACAATGTACTCATACCTGTGTACTATGATACAACTGTACTCGAGTTGATGTGAGTAATTATTATGAATACCTTCCAAATACAATGAATATCATTGGTAACAGTCACCATAGTTAGCTATTACCTAGCTGTGCAGGTTTGATGACTGTTAATTGAACCAAGACTATATCCAGCAATCTAATTTCTGTCTTCGTGTTAGTATGGCCATATATTAACAGAATTTAGATAATGTGAGAACTTGGACATCAGTGAGTATGGCTGATATTTACTGCTGGCGAACAGGGGTGCAGTTTAAAAGGCTTAGACCCATGCTTCAATTGTATATGGAGTAAGAAGGCTTGCCCATGCTCATGATATTTGGTGTTGAGAAGGCTTGCCCCCCAAAGCTTAGAGGTGATTTGTGATTAAAGAAGCTTACCCATCTCCAGTGGTATTCAGTAAAAGAAAGCTTGCCCATGCTTCTGTTTGCCATCCTGCCCCTACTTGTAGTTGGGAAAAAGGTATGTAATACTGTAGACTGTTACAGAAATGATACGACACTTCATGAAGGGTTCGACAGTGCAGTAGTGATGCACGTTGGTGGTTTATCAGTGTTTAAAACCAAATTTCCCCAAGCACAACAAGTCTACTACATTCCGCAAGTGTCTCACCTGCTTTGCGAGGGGCTTGGACTGCAGGAGGCGCGCATTGACGTGTTCCGATAGGATTGAAATGGAGACGAATGGTATTTGGGACCCTGACGATCTGTTAGGAGTGTGAGCAGGGTAATATTAGTGTGTAGGGATTCAGGAAACCGGTTAATTATATACCTGACTGAGTCCTGGAAATGGAATACAATGCCAGCACTCTAAAGGAAGGGTTTTCGGGATATTAGCATGGAAGTGATAAGTTTGTGTATCCTTATACGTATATGTTTCTAAACTGTTGTGTTCTGAGCACCTCTGCAAAAACAGTGATTATGTGTGAGTGAGGTGAAAGTGTTGAATTATGATGAAAGTATTTTCTTTTTGGGGATTTTCTTTCTTTTTGGGTCACCCTGCCTTGGTGGGAGATGGCCGACTTGTTGAAAATAAAAAAAATATTCAACTGGGTATTTCAACTTAGGATGGGTTTGTCGGAACGTAACCCCATTGTAAGTCAAAGACTACCTTTACAGTAAAAATCTTTTACAATAAGACTGCAACTTAGAAACATGTTGAGAATTTGATGTAATTTAAAAAAAAAAAATGTGTGTTAAAAAATAAAAAAATTGTATATATGATTAATTGTGTATAATATCATTATTATTACACAAATCAGGAGGTCCCCAAGTTTTTCGGTAAATTCAATACTTACTGTTTTTACTTTTTAATTTGTTTAAACAATTACAGCTGTAGTCTGCAGTACTTTATCCAAAATCTGTCAGTTGGTCCCACCTCATCTCTATGGACTCCAGTGCACAACATCACCTATGGCCTATGACCAACATTTAATCATTGAACCTATTAGAGTATAAGCGGTTGACAACCTATATGCTATGGTAATGGTAAGACATCTAATGTAATGGTGAGAACTTACCAGCATGTCTGATAAAAAAGTCACTATGTTTACATAGCAAGGATTAATAAATCCTGAATCACTTTGAAGTATTAATGTATACTTTTAAAATTGTACCATTGTTCATTAATCTACCTCTTGTTTTGTACATTTAAGAATGCCTGCTTAACCTGCATCTAGTTCTTTAAGTACTCTTTAAAGTGTTACAGTAATATTACAGTATGAAGGACCTCCCTCTTCCTTTCCCTCCCACATTCTGACTGTCTTAAATTGAAAACAGATAAATGATATCCATGGTATAAATTACTATATTGACATGGAGATGGGAAGTACATTGCCTGCACTCTGAAGGAGGGGTGTTAATGTTGCAGTTTAAAAACTGTAGTGTAAAGCACCCTTCTGGCAAGACAGTGATGGAGTGAATGATGGTGAAAGTTTTTCTTTTTCGGGCCACCCTGCCTTGGTGGGAATCGGCCAGTGTGATAATAAAAAAAAAATAATTTATACAGAAAGGGGTTATTAGCCCCTTGCTCCTGGCATTTCAGTCACCTCTTACAGCACACATGGCTTATGGAGGAAGGATAATATGTTGAATTATGCCCTAAAATGTTGATTGTATTTCAGGCTGGTTCAGGATATGGACTTGAGTGTTGGGGTTTTGACACTGCTCCGACTGGACACACACTGCGTCTAATCTCGTTTTCTCGAGTAATTGAAAACTCATTAGGGGAGTTATTGAGAAGCAACCAGATCAGTCCCTTCATAAACCAGGTAACTTGCTTACAAAATATTCATTTTGTTTTATTTTTGTTTTTTTGTTTATTAACGCTTTCACTGTCAAGACCCCCCCCCCTACAAACTTCTTCTCAGTGTCGAAGAATTTAAAAAAAAAAATTATTTTCTCCTATGAAATGGTTAAGAATCTTTTTCCAATGGTAATGAAACCAAAAGTATGAAATTTGATGGAAAACTTACGGAATTACGCTCTCGCGAAATTAGCGGTTTCGGCATTATATATGCATTGGCAATTTTGCTCACTTTGAGCCCTATTTTGGGCCAATTCCATTGTACCAGTGAACCAAACTCATGGCTATTTAGCTAGAACTACCTTTCTTCTATCGATTGAGTACAAGAAACCGCACATTTACAGATCTCATCTACCCAATAAAGTTATCGGTAAGTTGGCCAATTTCATACACAATTCGAGGAAGGCCAATTTCAAAATAGGGTCCAGAATTAACAATGCAGACATTCCTAGCGCTAAAATAACATTTTCTTTGTTTGTTCGTCACATCTCCAGGCCCCTTTTATATTATGCTTCTTTACGTTTTGTATTTTTATTCACATAAAAAATATAAGATTTACTGTTGTGCAGACTACTGCATTATTAAAATAATTGAAATAAATAATGTCAACCCATTTTTTGACTGTGTATTAGACTGGCCAATTGGAACATATTGAACATAGGCAAAAATTGAACATTCTGCTACTTTGAGCTAAATTTTCAAGGTATTTTTCTTTCGTGAGACCAATAAAAATCATCTCCATTTCTGTAATATATCTTCCATTCTATCAAATGAGACCAAGAAAAAGAGAATAGAGCTGTAAATACCATACAAAAATACATCACAAAGTCACTGTTTTAAACCAACAACACGGTCGGAGTTTTTTTTCCTCATTGTGCACTGTGTGCTGCAGGATTCTTTTTTATATTGCGCACACTAACCACGCAGACCCATTCTTTCATATGTAGGCCTACCAGCTTTCTTCCACCAGATTTTAAGAACATAAGAAGAACATTATATTCCAAAACTACCTTAGCTCATTATTTTACATTTGTTAAATAATTCAGGTGCTATTTTTTAGCTTAAGACTATTTACTTTGTTTTATACTTAATTCTAACTATAGATTCACTACAAATCTTATGATTACAAGCATTGATCCTGATACCAACCTCTTATTTAATGACTTAAATGATTCAAACAGTTACTGTAATTACTACACTGCAGAACAATCAAAGGCACTTCTCAGTGCCAACAACAACATAACTATCTTTAACTACAATATCAGATCTTTAAGAAAGCATTAGGGATGACCTCATAGCATTACAAAAATTCCTTACATGCCAATATGTCCATCATTACACTAACTGAAACCTGGCTAAAGCCTGATAGTACAGATGTCTATGCCATTCCTGGTTACACAGCCATACACAACTGTAGGCAGACCAACAAGGGGTGGCACAGCCATATACTACTCAGACCAACTAGAATGTATCACTAATACTTGCACAAGGGATGAACATGGGGAATATATAATAGCCAAATTCAAATCCAAAAACCTACAAAAACCTCTCACATTGATAAACATTTACAGAGTTTCCACAGTCAAACATTAGCCAATTTAGTCAAAACCTAGAAGTATGATAACTGATTCACGCATGAACAAAGATCACTTACTACTCTCAGGTGACTTCAATATAAATCTCCTGCAAGACCAGGAACCACACGTTACTGAATTCACAAACACAATGAGTAATGTATGTTGCTACCAACATAACAAAACCTACAAGAGTTACAGAGACTAGTGTTTCCCTACTTTACCACATCTGGACCAAAACCATATCCCCTTTAAAAATCAGCATAATTACAGATAATACCACAGACCACTACCCTACTTTTTTCATAACAACTCTTGGTAAATTACCCCAAGACACTACTAAAGTCACCTTCAGACTTCACAATGAGGCAAACCATTAATAACTTCACAAACAGCAGTAGCAAACATTGACTGGCACACTGAGCTAGAAATCTATACAGATATTGACGAATGTATTAATAATTTTCTAAAAAGACCCAATACCCTATAACAAGCACTGCCCTAAAAAAACTAAACAGATGACAGCTAAGAGACTGAACAGTCCCTGGTTAACACCCCGCATTCTCAAATCCATAAATACAAAACACCAATATGAAAAACAGTACAGAATGGGTCACATAACCAGAGACCAAACAAAACGTTACTCGTCAATCCTAACCAGCCCGATAAGAAGGGCAAAAAAATTGTATTATGAGAACAGATTATCCAACTTACGAGGTGATATAAAAAAGACCTGGAAAACCCTATCGAAATTCTAGGAACAAAAAAGATATCACGAAATAGCGAAATAAAATTAGCAAAAATCAGATGAACCCCAACTCCCCCCAACAGAAACAGCAAACAGACTCAATGACTTCTTCTCCACTATAGGACAAACCTTGCCAATAAAATCCCAAGCTCAGATACCCCACCAAAAGACTACCTCACTGGCAACTACCCGAACACACTGTTCCTAGCTCCGACCCAACCCATACGAAGTCTCCCTTATTAACAAAGCTAAAAAAAAAGGGAGGAGATTTTAAAAAACCCTTACCCCCCTTTAATACAAAAAAGGGTCACAAGTGCTATCACCAATCATTGCAACACTCTTTAACAAATCCATTGAATCCTCCACCTTCCCCCCAGTACTCAAAATAGCAAGGGTCACCCCGATCCACAAAGGAGGACCAAACAGAGTTGAATAACTATAGGCCAATATCCAACTTAAAAACCCTCTCTCAAAAATCTTCGAAAAAAATTTTTTTCATAAACGAATCTACTCCTACCTTATCTCCCAAAACATACTCAAACCCCTGCCAATTTGGATTCAGGCCAAATAAAATACTAATGAGCTATTAAACACATGCTAGAACATATATTTCACTGCAATAGAGAAAAAAGAAGTCCCATGGGGATCTTCTTGACTTACGTAAAGCTTTTGATACAGTTAACCCTATTTGCTCCACGTAAAATTGTCACACTATGGTATAAGAGGGCACTCCCTCAACTACCTCAAGTCATACCTCAGCAACAGAAGCCAATATGTGTATGCAAATGGGGCAAACTCTTCTGCACAAAACCCAAATTTCGTTGGTGTCCCACAGGGAAGTGCCCCTTTGGGCCCCCTTCTCTTTCTCCTATACATAAATGACCTACCAATGCTTCACAATTACTCAAACCCACACTATTTGCAGATGACACTACATACGTCTTCTCCCACCCGAGCCCAGTCACGCTAGCCAATACTGTAAATACAGAATTACAGAAAATATCTACCTGGATGAGGACTAACAAACTTACACTAAACATTGACAAAACCTACTTCATTCAGTTTGGTAACAGAGCTACAGATGTCCCTCTTAACATAATGATAAACGGATCACCTATCACAAAGCTAACAGAGGGAAAATTCTTAGGAATCCACCTTGATAATAGACTCAAATTTCATACACATATACAACAAATTTCTAAGAAAATTTCCAAGACTGTAGGCATACTATCGAAGATACGGTACTATGCTCCACAGTCAGCCCTCCTGGCCCTATATCACTCTCTTATTTACCCCTATCTCACCTATGGAATTTGTGCATGGGGCTCAACAACAAGTAACCATCTCAGACCACTAATTACCCAACAAAAGGCTGCAGTTAGAATGATAACAAATTCTCACTATAGGCAGCACACTCCACCAATATTCAATACACTAAACCTATTCACCATACAAAACATTCATACTTATTACTGCACCTATTACATACATAGAACACTTAACTCTGATATTAACCCTCCCCTCAAACATCTCCTTGCCAACCTCAACAGAACACATGACCATAACACAAGGCACAGATCACTCTTTGATGTTCCTCGTGTCCACCTCACACTATGCAAAAACTCAATGCACATAAAAGGCCCTAAAATCTGGAACTCATTACCTGTAAATATAAAAGAAACACTACCTGTTTATAAATTCAAGTCTCTTCTAAAAGATCACTTACTCACCCAAAACCAAATAAATACTGAATAACTGAACTTATAAATTGTATATCTTAAATGTTTCTCACAATTATATCACATAAATGTTAAACCTAAAACCCAATCTAACTTTATTATTTTTTAAATACACTACCTAACAGAATACTCCATTCTACTGAATGTACAACAATGCATACAACCATATGACCTGTCTTTGTAATACTCACTTGTGCTTTATAGTAATCTGTTTACATTAAAGTTTTATCACCGATGTCATCATTGCTTAGTTCATCTTAAGTTAATTTTAAGCCAGCCCGTAATGCTATGCATAGTATAAGTGGCTTTGGCATACTGCTCTTTTCTGTATTTTTTGTACCTCTGTATGTGTGCACAAATTTTTAAATAAATAAATAAATAAATAAAAGGAACACTGTAACAGGCCTACTGACCCATGTGGAGCAGGTCCATGTCCCCCCCCTGGGATTAGACCAATAACCCCCCCCCCCAAAATTAGCCCAATTGACCCCCCCGCCCTGGTCCCCCCCACTCAAGGATGGAGCATGAACCAGCCCCAGCAGCCCCAAGCTAGTCGGGTTTAAAATACCCCCCACCCATACCCACTATTTTAATTTATCTAACCTTTTTTTAAAAACAAACACAAATGTTTTAGCCTCAAAAAATGAAACTGGGGGAGTTTTTTTTCCACTCACCCAAACTCTTTACCAAACCAGTGTTTTCCCTTTATCCTTTCCCGGGGAATTTAAATTTTTTTTTCCAACTTAAAACCCTTTGTTTGCGATTTCCGGTTTTTGGCTGGAAATTTTCGAAACCTTTTTTACCCCCTTTTTTTATTTATTCCTGTTTTCCTTTTATACCCCTTTTCGATTATATCATCCCTAATTCAAACCCCTTTTGGGAGAGAGTGCAGTTTTCCGGGCCT